TGATTTAAACCAGTTTAAAGATTTGTTGTGTCCTCTTTATTGTCTATCATAAAAATCTTAATGTCATCTGCAAGCGCAATACTGAACTGTAATTTGTGTCCTTGTCTGTGTTTGGTAAAAAGATGATAAAAATTACTGGAGGAAGAACAGTACCCTAGGGGAGGGGGGAGGCTTAACTCATCTCGGTGCCTGATTCGGATATTACTTTGTTGATTACACTCTAGCTTATGTTCGTTTGGAAATTATTGATACATCTTCCCACTTTGCCAGTAATTCCATTTATGCTTATTTTGTATGCAATATAACTATGGTCAAACTTAAAGAAAAGTTTCGCAAAATCTGTATACATTATATCAGAGTCTTGATGTAATGTACCCTTTGCCATGTCATAGACCACTATGACATGGCAGCTAAGGCGATGTCAAAGTGGTCAAAAAGCTGTGTGAAGCCGGAGTGACTTGTTCTGAATATCCATGTAATGCCACTCTTCAATTTTAAATGGGAACTGCCGCCTTTTTTATCATACTTGGAAAAAAAAGTGTACGACAAATATTGGCATCTTCAAAAATATATATATATTCTCCAACTCCAGCCATTTGCCCCGACTGAAAAAGGGTGCGATAGGTCTGTGCTATTGTTAGAACAAAATAGCACTCCCTTGTTGCTTTCTGTACTACACTAAAGACTTACAACATTTGTTGATGTTTACTTTAGTGCTTGTGGGAACCGACCTGTGAGATTTATATTTATTTAATTTATATGAATTTATATAGAATTTATATTTACGTTAATTTATATATTTCGATTGCAATTTGTATGATAAGTAGACTGTATTTCTGCAATAATCTCACAAATCAATCCTCTACACATTAGGGGGGTTTATATTGAATTTATATATATGCAGCCAATCAAACTACAGTATTAAACTACATATTAGTGTACATTGAAGAGGTTCCTTATCTTATTTGTACAGCAGGCCTTAGTCCACCAGGTATAACTAGGATGTAAACACCAAATTTTCCTCGTGTGAGGTAGCCAGTTACCATCACCCTGGTAACTGATACACAAAGCATGCTTCCTCGTCTTGACCTGTCAAAAGGGCGCTAGCTATGAAGCCAGAATCCTAATATATGACAGCTATATCAGAGAAAACACTGTACAATGAACCATAAAGACCAAGGCTTAATTACCTTGTTTGAGTCGATCATTTGTGATCTCACCGGATCACCCAATATCTACCTAACATTAATGGCCAAAAATGAATAGATAAACGGGTTTCGGAAAGACACCTGCCTTGTATTTGCTGACAGCGTGTTGATGATGGAAGACCACTACTCTGATCTTCGTCACACTTCGTCCAAGAGAATTTATATTAGCAGTTACTAACTCCAACGACTCTGGTCTTAACAACAACAATGGCTGACCACTCCCTCACCACTGACGCCTGGCTTATTTGTCCAGATGTCAGTAAGTGATAGAAAGGTCACATTTACTCTATTTTAATACTGATAAATAAGTTAATTTATATGATATGTTTTATGATGTAAAAGTCCAAAGACTAATGTATTTAACAATAATTCCCAGCAGAATAGGTGGTGAATTTATAATAGTATGTGGCAATGATATCCTGTTTTCTATAGACGGAAAATTCCACTACAAGTTACATTTTCTATGGGTAACTTGTGTATACAATGCAGCAATATTATCTGCCTGTATGTAATATTATTAAATGGTGTCGGATTTTCCGACAGTCCTGGACTATGGCCAGTATTCAGACCTAATGTATACTCAATTGTTAGTCAGTAAGCTAGCATCACGGGCTTATTAATCCTCGTTCAGTTGATAGGCCTTAAACTCAACATCTAACCATGTCACGTTACAGAAAAACAAATGTGGTTGATGAGAAATAAGTAAAATATTATTTGCTTAATACGCACAGAAATCACAATAGTGTGATGCATCATATGAACAAATCCACAAGGACCATGATGAGGATTCGAACTTATGCCCGGGATGATCCCAGACACTGCTTTAGTCGACTAGGCCACGACACGGTCAAAAGAATTGCAACTGAGAATTCCACTTACTTTACACGGATCCTGCAGCCTCTCCGAGACACAAACCAGGGTATTACACTATTCCCCCAATGCACTCGGGCTCTCCCAACAAGCTGTTGTACCTCTTCGCCCTCAATTCAATACACCATGTCATGGCCTTGTTGACTAAGGCAGCGTCTGGGATCATTCTGTGCGTAAGTTCGAACCCTCATCACAGCCCTTGTGGATTTGTTCATTATTTGCATAAGTTCTGAATTAAGAGCATATATAATAGCGTGTACTGTGACTGATGTCCCATCACCACCATCATCGTATCATCATATCAAAATCATCATAATATTTCCACAACTTCCTTCAGACAGATCATGTTGTCTTTACAAAATATTAAAAAATCACGATCATAAAAAATATTTAGGTTCCTCCAGGATGATATCGAGATATTCTCTTCACTGAGGTTCCGTGAGCCTCGAGTTATAGTTGTTCATAATAGGACGCTCCATTCCCAGAGATCTCTGGCGGTCGGAGGCAGCAACTTAGATCTAATATAATGTTATGCAGTTTCAAATATGGTTTAGCATCCAGGAATGGCTGCATAGATTTTTATGAAACAGTCAGGGATATCTGCCACAGCAGATGGGCCAAGGCAAAATACCTGGTTGTAGTTGTGCTCATGTTGCATATCCCAGGATCATTGTTTACTATACCTCCTCAAAGCGACAAAATTATTTTTCATAAACATAAATATTCAGTAAATATGAAATTCTCATTCGGAACTGAATTGTAAATGTTGAACATGTAACTATTGAAGGATGTGTTCGGAAGTGGTGAACATGTATCTACTGTAGGAAGTGGTGAACATGTAACTACTGTAGGAAGTGGTGAACATGTAACTACTGTAGGAAGTGTGAACTATAGGAAGTGGTATGTAACTACTGTAGGAAGTGGTGAACATGTAACTACTGTAGGAAGTGGTGAACATGTAACTACTGTAGGAAGTGGTGAACATGTAACTACTGTAGGAAGTGGTGAACATGTATCTACTGTAGGAAGTGGTGAACATGTAACTACTGTAGGAAGTGGTGAAGATGTAATTATTACAGGATGTGTTCGGAAGTGGTGGACATGTAATTATTACAGGATGTGTTGGGAAGTGGTGGACATCAGCCTGCCCAGAGAGGTCCTGGAGATGGTATTCACGCACGTGCCTATATTTCATCTGTTGACCGTCGATGCTTGTGTCTGTCGCTACTGGAACAAAGTCATCCTTAACCCTGCAGTGAGTACTACAACCATACAGTGAGTAATATAACCCTACAGTGAGTAATACAACCATAGAGTGAGTAACACAACCCTACAGTGAATAATACAAACCGACAGTGAGTAATGCCGCACTTTGATGAGTAATATCATTCTACGGTTAGTAATACCACACAGTGGTGAGTAAGTAATGGTAATGTCTTCTCACAGACATTTAAACACAGGATAAAAACAATACTTGTGCATTTGTGAAAGTTATATATTGATTTACAGCAACTCTTTCGCTATCACCTGAGTGCTTTATCAAGGTGAGAGTGTGTGGTTAGGACGAGATTTACATCTCAACGACTAATGAAGTATTCAGGAGAGTGCGGAAGACTTGGTGTAATTCTTTATAAAAATATCACAAAAACATAATTTTGGTTTTCTATTCACTGAGGTGAGTAATATAATCATACAGTCAGTAATGCACCCTACAGTTAGTAATAAAACACTGTGGTGAGCAATAATGCCATCGTCAGTAATATACCCCCCACAGTTAATAATAGAACACTGAGTTGAGTAATATAATCCTACAGTCAGTAAAACACCCTACAGAGAGTAATACAACACTGTGGTGAGTAATATAATCCTACAGTCAGTAAAGAACCCTCAGTTAGTAACACAACACTGTGGTGATTAATATAATTCAACAGTCAGTAATACAACACTGTAGGTGGGTAATATATTCCAACAGTTAGTTATACACCCCTAAAATTAGTAACACAACACTGGTGAGTAATGTAATGCTACATTGAGTAATACATCTCTACGCTTAATGATACAACATAGTGGTGAGTAATATAAACCTACAGTAAATTGAAGAACCCTGAGATAAATATATAAAAATGTATGTTAAAGCTTTCTAATTGCTTAAATTTAAATTTGGTTATAACAAACCTAACAAATGAAGACGGCTGTACTCAAAAGCTGACCTTTCCGTAATTTATATTTTGTTTGTCGCATTGTTGACTCGTTTGCCTGACTTTGCTTGCACACAATTTCAGTTTATACCATGGAGAAAATTTTACCATCGACTGAAGCTTTTGCCTTGGAGCGTAACGTCCAGCATACTGCTCTTCCCGACAGGGGAGAGAGACAAGTTGACAGCCAACGATATCATATCTGCCATTTGTCAGCGCCACGGTCTGACTTCTTTGAGATACTGTATCACCAGTGTCATCAGGTAAGATAACACCATGATAGACTTTATCAACAGTGTAACTGTTGATACAGTTACGCACGTCAACTGAGACATCCAATACATGGTTGATGATAGTAGTATTAATGACATTGATAATACGAGGTCTTGAACTAGATACTGACAGGGGAACAACAAAGCTGTGATATTGAAAAGAAACTGAACTGAATTTGAAAGTTGATTAATATATGTAATGTGAAGCCAATCTACTGGAAAACAGTAAGCAAACTTTATTTGAAAAGAATATGAGAAGACTGAAAAGCAGAGCGTGGGGAAATGGGTAAAAATAAGAAGTAATGATCTTCATAAACATAACATAGCATATCCATGACCGTAATTAATACAGTGTGAACTCTCTTAAAACTATGCTCACCGTGAAATCTCGTCACTATGCATAACTTGTCACTCTGCGAAACAAATTATTGACTATAAGTGCGACAGTGAGAATAAAAATGACCACTTATGTTTTGGAGTGCTATTTTTGTCAAGAAATACTGTAAAGGATGATTATTGACTATGAGAGAAAGAGGAGGAGGAGGAGGCTATGTATGTAGTGATCACGTCTCCCCAAACTCCTCTGTCTTCAGGAGGTTGGTGTGGTGCATATTTCACAATACCTTTTCTTTCCTCCTAAGTCAGCCTCTTATTTCGTGGACTGCTGGTGTTTGATGTGTCTGATGTGTTGAACTGCTTAAAGGAACCATATTTGCAAGAAACAAAAATTCCTGTAAAATAATGCATGTTATATGTTTTGACTATCTAGCTAATAGCGTATTGCCTTGGCTAATAATGAAATGTCACATTTTGTCTGACTCACTTAGCACAAGTGAAGAGAAAACATAGAAAAACTTGCAAAGGTTAAAACTCTGTGAAATCATATCTGTTATGTTAAGTTTTGACTAGCTGATTAATAACATACTTCTACATTATTGTCTTTTTATGTTATGTTTACCTCGATAGCGTTGTAATGCTTGGAAATTGCATGTGCGGATCCCGTTTCTCTCTCTCTCTCTCTCTCTCTCTCTCTCTCTCTCTCTCTCTCTCTCTCTCTCTCTCTCTCTCTCTCTCTCTCTCTCTCTCTCTCTCTCTCTCTCTCTCTCTCTCTCTCTCTCTCTCTCTCTCTCTCTCTCTCTCTCTCTCTCTCTCTCTCTCTCTCTCTCTCTCTCTCTCTCTCTCTCTCTCTCTCTCTCTCTCTCTCTCTCTCTCTCTCTCTCTCTCTCTCTCTCTCTCTCTCTCTCTCTCTCTCTCTCTCTCTCTCTCTCTCTCTCTCTCTCTCTCTCTCTCTCTCTCTCTCTCTCTCTCTCTCTCTCTCTCTCTCTCTCTCTCTCTCTCTCTCTCTCTCTCTCTCTCTCTCTCTCTCTCTCTCTCTCTCTCTCTCTCTCTCTCTCTCTCTCTCTCTCTCTCTCTCTCTCTCTCTCTCTCTCTCTCTCTCTCTCTCTCTCTCTCTCTCTCTCTCTCTCTCTCTCTCTCTCTCTCTCTCTCTCTCTCTCTCTCTCTCTCTCTCTCTCTCTCTCTCTCTCTCTCTCTCTAACTCTCTCTCTCTCTCTCTCTCTCTCTCGGAGTGAGTGAGTGTGGAGGAAACTTGAAGAAAGTGTGGAGGAGACAAGGAGTGAGTGTGGAAGAGACTAGGAGTATATGTGGAGGAGACTAGGAGTGAGTGTGGAGAAGATCAGGAGTGAGTTTTGAGGAGACTAGGAGTGTATGTGGAGGAGACTACGAGTGAGTGTGGTCGAGACTAGGAGTGTATGTGGAGGAGACTATGAGTGAGTGTAGAGGAGACTATGAGTATATGTGGAGGAGACTAGGAGTGAGTGCGGAGCTAGGAGACTAGGAGTGAGTGTGGAGGAGACTAAGATTGAGTGTGGAGGACACTAGGAATGAGTGTGGAGGAGACTAGGAGTGAGTGTGGAGGAGACTTGGAGTAAGTGTGGAGGAGACAAGGAGTGAGTGTGGAAGAGACTAGGAGTAAGTGTGGTCGAGACTAGGAGTGAGTGTGGAGGAGACTAGGAGTGAGTGTAGAGGAGACTAAGAGTGAGTGTGGAGGAGACTAGGAGAGAGATTGGAGGAGACTATGAATGACTGTGCAGGAGACAATGAGTAAGTGTAGATGAGACTAGAAGTGAGTGTGAAGGAGACTAGGAGTGAGTGTGGAGGAGACGAGGAGTGAATGTGGAAGAGACTTGGAGTGCATGTGGAAGAGACTAGGAGTGAGTGTAGAGGAGACCAGGAGTGAGTTTGGAGGAAACTAGGAGTGAGTGTAGAGGAGACTAAGAGTGAGTGTGGAGGAGACTAGGAGAGAGATTGGACGAGACTAGGAATGAGTGTGGGGGAGACGAGGAGTGATTGTGGAAGAGACTTGGAGTGCATGTGGAAGAGACTAGGAGTGAGTGTGGAGGAGACCAGGATTGAGTTTGGGGGAGACTAGGAGTGAGTATGGAGGAGACTATTGGAGTGAGTGTGTGGAAGAGACTAGGAGTGAGTGTACAGAAGATCAGGAGTGAGTTTTGAGGAGACTAGGAGTGTATGTGGAGGAGACTAAGAGTGAGTGTGGAGGAGACTAGGAGAGAGATTGGACGAGACTAGGAGTGAGTGTGGAGGAGACGAGGAGTGATTGTGGAAGAGACTTGGAGTGCATGTGGAAGAGACTAGGAGTGAGTGTGGAGGAGACCAGGATTGAGTTTGGGGGAGACTAGGAGTGAGTATGGAGGAGACTATTGGAGTGAGTGTGTGGAAGAGACTAGGAGTGAGTGTACAGAAGATCAGGAGTGAGTTTTGAGGAGACTAGGAGTGTATGTGGAGGAGACTACGAGTGAGTGTGGTCGAGACTAGGAGTGCGTGTGGAACAGACTAGGAGTGTATGTGGAGGAGACTATGAGTGAGTGTAGAGGAGACTATGAGTATATGTGGAGGAGACTAGGAGTGAGTGTGGAGGAGACTAAGATTGAGTGTGGAGGACACTAGGAGTGAGTGTGGAGGAGACTAGGAGTGAGTGTGGAAGAGACTAGGAGTGAGTGTGGAGGAGATTAGGAGTGGATGTACACGAGACTTGGCTTGAGTGTGGAGGAGACTAGGAACGGGTGTAGAGGAGTCTAGGAGTTGGAGTTAAAGAGACAGGAAGTTAGTATGGAGAAGACTGGCAGTGAGTGTAGAGGAGACTAGGAATGGGTGTGTGGGAGACTAGGAGTGAGGGTGGAGGAGACTAGGAGTGATTGTAGAGAAGACTAGGAGTGAGGGTGGAGGAGACTCGGAGAGAGTGTAGAGGAGACTAGTAGTGAGTGTGGAGGAGACTATGAATGACTGTGTAGGAGGCTATGAGTAAGAAGTAGATGAGACTAGAAGTGAGTGTGAAGGAGACTAGGAGTGAGTGCGGAGGAGACTAGAAGTGAGTGTAGAGAAGACTTGCATTGAGTATGAAGGAGACTAAGAATGAGTGAAGAGTAGAGTAGGAGAGAGTGTAGAGGAGACTAGGAGTGAGTGTGGAGGAGACTGTGAGTGAGTGTAGAGGAGATTAGAAGTGAGTGTGGAGGAGACTAGAAGTGTGTTTGGAGGAGACTTGGAGTAGGTGTGGAGAAAACTAGGAGTGAGTGTGGAAGAGACTAGGCGTGAGTGTGGAGGAGATCAGGAGTTGATGTACACGAGACTAGGTTTGAGTGTAGAGGAGACTAGGAGTGAGTGTGTAGGAGACTAAGAGAGAGTGTAGAGGAGACTAGGAGTGAGTGTGGAGGAGGCTAGGAGTGAGTGTAGAGGAGACTAGGAGTGAGTGTAAAGGAGACTAGGAGAGAGTGTGGAGGAGACAAGGAGTGAGTATGGAGGAGACTAGGAGTGATTGTAGAGGAGACTAGGAATGAGTGTGGAGGAGACCAGGAGTGAGTGTGGAAGAGACTAGGAATGAGTGTGGAGGAGATTAGGAGTGGATGTACACGAGACTAGGTTTGAGTGTAGATGAGACTAGGAGTGAGTGTGTTGGAGACTAAGAGAGAGTATAGGGGAGACTAGGAGTGAGTGTGGAGGAGGCTAGGAGTGAGTGTGGAGGAGACTAGGAGTGAGTGTAAAGGAGACTAGGAGAGAGTATGGAGGAGACAAGGAGTGAGTGTGGAGGAGACTAGGATTGATTGTAGAGGAGACTAGGAGTGAGTGTGGAGGAGACCAGGAGTGAGTTTGGAGGAGACTAGGAGTGAGTGTAGAGGAGACTAAGAGTGAGTGTGGAAGAGACTAGGAGAGAGATTGGAGGAGACTAGGAGTGAGTGTGGAGGAGACTAGGAGTGAGTGTGGAGGAGACTAGGAGTGAGTGTGGAGGAGACTAGGAGTGAGTGTGGAGGAGACTAGGAGTGAGTGTGGAGGAGACTAGAAGTGAGTGTGGTCGAGACTAGGAGTGAGTGTGGAGGAGACTAGGAGTGTATGTGGAGGAAACTACGAGTGAGTGTAAAGGAGACTAGGAGAGAGTTTGGAGGAGACCAGGAGTGAGTTTGGAGGAGACTAGGAGTGAGTGTAGAGGAGACTAAGAGTGAGTGTGGAAGAGACTAGGAGAGAGATTGGAGGAGACTAGGAGTGAGTTTGGAGGAGACGAGGAGTGAGTGTGGAAGAGACTTGGAGTGCATGTGGAAGAGACTAGGAGTGAGTGTGGAGGAGACCAGGAATCAGTTTGGAGGAGACTAGGAGTGAGTATGGAGGAGACTATTGGAGTGAGTGAGTAGGAGTGAGTGTACAGAAGATCAGGAGTGAGTTTTGAGGAGACCAGGAGTGAGTGTGGTCGAGACTAGGAGTGCGTGTGGAACAGACTAGGAGTGTATGTGGAGGAGACTAGCAGTGAGTGTAGAGGAGACCAGGAGTGAGTTTGGAGGAAACTAGGAGTGAGTGTAGAGGAGACTAAGAGTGAGTGTGGAGGAGACTAGGAGAGAGATTGGAGGAGACTAGGAGTGAGTGTGGAGGAGACGAGGAGTGATTGTGGAAGAGACATGGAGTGCATGTGGAAGAGACTAGGAGTGAGTGTGGAGGAGACCAGGAATGAGTTTGGAGGAGACTAGGAGTGAGTATGGAGGAGACTATTGGAGTGAGTGTGTGGAAGAGACAAGGAGTGAGTGTACAGAAGATCAGGAGTGAGTTTTGAGGAGACTAGGAGTGTATGTGGAGGAGACTACGAGTGAGTGTGGTCGAGACTAGGAGTGCGTGTGGAACAGACTAGGAGTGTATGTGGAGGAGACTATGAGTGAGTGTAGAGGAGACTATGAGTATATGTGGAGGAGACTAGGAGTGAGTGCGGAGCAAGGAGACTAGGAGTGAGTGTGGAGGAGACTAAGATTGAGTGTGGAGGACACTAGGAGTGAATGTGGAGGTGACTAGGAGTGAGTGTGGAAGAGACTAGGAGTGAGTGTGGAGGAGATTAGGAGTGGATGTACACGAGACTTGGCTTGAGTGTGGAGGAGACTAGGAACGGGTGTAGAGGAGTCTAGGAGTTGGAGTTAAAGAGACAGGAAGTGAGTATGGAGAAGACTGGCAGTGAGTGTAGAGGAGACTAGGAATGGGTGTGTGGGAGACTAGGAGTGAGGGTGGAGGAGACTAGGAGTGATTGTAGAGAAGACTAGGAGTGAGG